TCCTTAGTCCCAGATCCCAAGAATCCCCAGAAGTACGAAAAGAAGAGATAAATTGAAATTTTTTCAAAGAAAGGGAATAAAGGTTCGGGAATCTATCCTTAAGAGGAGATTCCCCAATCCACAAGTCTTCCCAAAAAAGAATTTTATTACCCACACAAGCATCATACCTGATGAAAGGATAGAATAAAGGCAAGATACCAACAATATCTTTCCACGGGGAACAACGCGAAGCCCTTGGGTCGAGTCCAGCGTCCCATCCGTTTGCTGCCATTCCATGAATGCTTCTTATCACCTTATGCCATAGACTCTCTTGCTCCTTAGGAAACCTCCATAACCATTTGCCTAACAAAGCTGCACTTCTTATTCTAATATTTCCAATCCCTAAACCCCCTTTGTCTTTCTTTCTAGACACCACTTCCCATTTTACCCTATGATCCTTTTTGGTATCTCCAGGCTCCCACAGAAAATCTCTCATTATTTTTTTCAAACTGGTTTGCAATCTTAACAGGCAATTTGAAGGTAGACAAAAAGTACACTGGCAAATTTGCTAGTGTTGACTTAATTAGAGTTATCTTTTCTGTTCAGACTACTTAAAAAGAAGGGGCTTCAACTTGGTAAGCTAGTGTTATCTTTTCGGTTCAGAAGAAGAGACTGTTTATCATTTGTTCTACTCCTGCAAGTGTGCAAATTTTATATGGAAGTTCTATTCTGTCCTATTTGGAGTTAGTGTTTTCCAGCCAAGGACATCAGATGAGTTGTTCTCTAAATGGCCAAGGATCAATGGAAGCAGGAAATCAAGGATAGTATGGAGCTGTATCCCATTTTCTGTGTGCTGGGCTTTCTGGAATGAAAGGAAAAGGAGATTGTTTGAAGGCAAGTCCAAATACATCGAGCTTCTGGTGGCCTTGGTTGGGCAATTTGTGCCAGATTGGGTTTTGGTGCTCCTTGAATTCGAACAAATTAGCAGATCTGATTTGGGGGAGAAATTTTGGAATGTTGTTGAAATTCAGAACTGTAATAGTGAGCAGTTTGTCTTTTTTAGTCCTTAGTAGTTTTGTATTGCTGAGGTGCCATCTTGTCACCTCTTAAATTGTACCTCTTTTTCTTTTTAATAAAATTTTTCTTCATTCTTCAAAAAAAAAAAAGATACAAGCACCAAAAGACATCCTCCCTACAAAACATAAACAAGATATGAACATCACGTTCAAAGTATCGACACAATACACCCCATATCAGGTGTATCATATTGTATCGGCAAGGTGCCAAAACGCTTTTTTAAGGATAATCCCAAAACCTCTTATTTTATACATTAAACCATGTTTAACCTTCCCCCCTTCCATATTTTTGAAAAAAAAACTAAAAAAAGGTGATGTGTGTCGACACTTTGAACCTTAACATCACCCCACAACTTTTTTTTTTTGATAAATGATGATAATTTTATTATATCATAAAAAGGTTTGAGATTGAAAGATCAGACATCCCTCGAACTCACGCCTCCCCAAACAAGATACAAGGAAAAAAAAAGCAACACAGATCACAATTGAGCACAGAAAAGGTCTTCCCTGTTTGCCCCTTGCTTGGCTGACACATCCGCCAAAGCATTTGTTGATCTTCCCACCCACTGTATAGAAGTAGACATATTCCTTATCAGCCATTTGAACTTCTAGATTTCATTTTGGTAACATCAAGCAGCATTCTGGGGGTTATTCAGCCAGCCCACAACTACCTTTGAGTCCCCTTCAATAATCAACTGCTTTACCCCTATCTGGTCTGCAAAAAGAATTCCTTGGACAGCAGCTAGTAATTCTGCCCTAAGAGAATCTCCATGTCCCAGAGGACCCAAGTGCAGAAGGGTTACCTATCCATTCTGATTTCTCAATACCCACCCACGCCCATTACAGAGGGTCCTAGATTGCCTAGGCTGCTCCCATCAAAGTTCAGCTTCACAGATCCTGCAGATGGGGGAAGCCACATCACAGCTGCCCTGATCTTAGTGGAGGAGCAACTTACTACTGATAACCAGTTTCTCCAAAGATCACTAAAGGAGAATTGCTGAAAGAGCTCTGTGGTTTTTATCCAGTGTATTTCCCTATTTAGAACACAATCCATAGTTGTCAAGGCAACGCCTAGGTCTCTAGTCACTTTTTGGGGCTCGCCTCGCCCAAACGCCAAATGATTTATATACCACTTGTACAAAGTTTTATAATGTTTTCATGTTTTTTATATTTTAGTGTATAATATAAATATAGGCATGCTACACTTTATCATTCTACTATTTCTTTCACAAAATATTATCTTTTATTTGTAGCTGCTTATTTTATTAGGGTTTCGAGATATTCAAAAGTTAAAGAACTGAAGAAGACCAACAGAATTCGAGTCATACAAAGTTCAAAGTATTAGAATACCAACCAACCGCATAAGGTATGTTTCATCTCATTCTCCGAGTGAACCAAAGCTCTGAGAACCCCCTATTTGCTTATGTTGTTCATTCATTCATTGCAATAAAATATCTTCTTTAAAGGCAATGAAAGTTGTAAAATCATTATTTTTTATGTGAGAAATAAGAATTTCAGACCCTAACATAGACTTGTTCGGACTTGCCTCGAGGGGCGTGGTCGGGGTCCGGGGGCGGAGCCCCCGGCCAAATCGTTAGACTCAAAAAAAAAAAGAAAAAAGTGCAAAATTTTAAAAAGGCACACACCTGGGCTGAGGCGCAAGGTGCATCAGGCGCACGCCTAGGCTCACCAGGCGCGGGCCTTTTAAAAGAGGTGCGCCTAGGCACGCCTTTTAAAGCACTGGATTGACAGTCCCTTTAACTTCATGAATCCCATCCATAATCACTTCATTATCACTTGCTTCACTTGATTCATCATTGCCTACCAAAGTTTCAACATCCGCAACCCCCTGAATGTTATCTTGCAAAGGCTTGGCCCTAAATTTCCTTTTCTTATGATACAACTTGGAACCTTCCCCATCACAATTTTTTCCTTTTTCACTATTGTTGTTCCCTCCCTTTACCTTTTCTAACCCCTCCTAAATATTATCCTCACCTGTCTTCCACCAACCTCTCCTCATCTTCTTTTTCCTTATCAAGAATCACCACCCCTCCCTCTGCACTCTTGATATTTGAGTCTCATTACTTAAATCACAAGCCTTCCCATCCCCTTCTCTAACATCACCACATCTTTCCTTTTCCTCCAAAAAAAAAAATTGCACTTACTTTTTCCACTGCCACTAGATTACATTTGAATTTTTCTTTGTGATTTCCAAGCTCACCAGCACCAGGATGATCAGCTCTACTTCCATAAACCAACAATGTTTGGTTGAAAACACTTATAGCCATGCTAGCTGATGTCTCCCTCCCTGGATTTTCGTCAGAACTCAAGCTGGGATGGAGCTCGAATGTAGCTTACCACTATGCTTCTTGTCATTGACACACCACTTCCACACCTAAAGTCTCTGAATTTCTTGGAACTTTTCTTGTCTTTAGATTCAGTCTTGGAAGTCTCAACCATGTTCTCCTCCTCAGCAGAACTGTTGAACTTAGTGATGACCCAGATCCAATTATTTTTTGCTTCACTGGATTTCCACGAACCTTTCCTCTTCCCCAGAATATCTACCTTCTTACCAAAATATCCTCTGGCCAGTTTAAACTACAAAAGATATTTGTAGCATCATCAAAATGAGGATGAGTAGGAAAATATTCTTTTGGGCTATCCATAATTCCTAATGACATAGCAGGTTTACCAGTCATTTTGCAAAACTCCTGAATGCTGAAAAGGATTTTGCTTTAGAAAAGACTTTGTCCTACCAAATTTGTGCCTCCAGTAGCACTAGTTCTCCAAATCAAAAACAACAACCTGACCTGCATCCTGTAACTAGATTAATTCCTAAAATAATAGTCAAATTACATCTCACAGTTCTTATTTGGTCCTGAAAGCAGGTTTCTCCATTGCCACACTGGAAGAAACCTGCAAACCAGTGGAACCAAATCCATGTCCACACTCTGGACAGATGCCCCATAAAAGCAGTTGCTTCCTCCACTTTAAGCTTTGTTTGCTAATGTCATTTTTATATATCATATATTCAATATTGAATGACTAATTATCTCAACCCCATGAACAACAAGAATACCAACATTATGGAGGGAAGAAAAAAACTTGGAATTGGCAGCACTCAATTAAAGGAGTCAAAGGATGCAAGGCCTTGCATATGAAGCTAAAATTGAACCACACAACAAAGCAATCCCTAATCGAGAATCAACAGAAATGAAAATTGCACTTCTGTTGCAAATACCAACTTCCCCCCAAAAAAAAATTGTCCCAATAACTGACATAACATAACACCATATCTTGAAACTAGGACTGGACTGCTAACTCTGAACCTTCATAAAAGCCAGCTATAATATGCAGGTAGGTCCAGGACATTCAAACTACTTAAGTCTATAACCACCTTCTGCCTGAGCTTGACCCCTTTAACCAGGCCATGTTTGGATACCTAAAGAGAGATATTTAAGCATAAGGACAGAAAAATAAAGATTTCTCATAGTTTTGTCATTTTATTTTTCTTCCATTTTCCTCATCTTCTTACTGTTGGTCAAAACAGAGAAAACCTCTAAAGTTTCAGAGCCTAGCAACCAAACCTGGGATAAAATTTTTTTCAGGAGGATCATCAGAGAAATATGAAATGTAATTTCCTCAGTATCTCAAGATTGTCTGTTAATAAATTAACTTCAACTTTTTTATCTTATACCTTGTATAGTTTCTTAATTTCCTGCTTGATTATTACTGTCAGCTGGCTTGTATAGTTTCTTAATTTCTGGTCTAAATTTTTCATTTTCTAGGATCTTCCTTATATGTATCCATTCTGAAATCTCTTTTTTTAGGTAATGAACACTGGCACCAAAGGTTCTTACAATCCAACATGTGTAACTCAAAGTGCTCAAGATTAGGCTCATAAAATAAAATGAAAGCAACCAAAAAGCGCATTCCAGATATTACCTGAGGGCTAGTTACAAGCCTTGAACTACCAACGGATGGCTGTTGTGAATTATGCCGCTGGGGCTGGTTTTCAAACTCCTGTTGTTGTAGAGCTATTGCAAGTTGAAGATCCGAACTGCCAAAAGTTACAGCACAAATAGGAGAGGATTAATAAACAATAAACAGGCAATATTAAAAACACTACAAAAAAGTAAGAAGGATTTTCTCATATGAAGGCATTAAACACTTTATGAAACAACGTTATTAAGCATAGAATGGATAAATTCCATGTCATTTCCCCAAGGGTCAACTGCAGTCAAAGGCATCTTCAAGATTTCAGAAACCAGTCCATGTTCTTAAGGAGTTATCTTCTCATAATGAAGCCTAAGCAAATGCAAAGAATGACACTCATTCAAGAGTAGCTATTATCCGTTATGCCCATCTACAGACTCTTTATTTCCTAAAAATCCCAGACACATGCTCAAGTTACATCTTGCCAAATTTAATTAATTTTTTATCAATAACAACATTTCATTAAAATCCAAGAAGAATTACAGAGCAGAGAGGTAACCTTTCTTACCTCTCCTCACCAGAATTAAAAATATAATACAAATTACAGTTGTGCCCAAAACATTTGATTTCTTCCCACCCCTTGTTTTGCTAGAACATCAGCAAAAGCATTAGCAGTCCTTTTGACCCAGCTGAATTACACTTTTGTGTAAACCATTTGAATTTCTTCCTCTCACCATTGAAGATCCAGAAGCCAGTCAATGTTTTAAAAGCACAGGGGTCAATTTGCGCCTGAGGCGCACACCTTTTTATTCAAGGTGCAAAAAATTAAAAAAAAAAAGCTAAAAATAAAAAATGTCAACAAATCAAGAAAAAAAGCCAAAAGTTTCAAAAAAATGCAAAAAAAATAAAAATATTAAACATAATATTAATAAAAATATAAACTTAAATTTTAAAATAAATGTTTTAAAAACCTATTATCTAAAATTAAAATACATAAATATAACATGTAAAGCATATTCAAATGAGAATTTAAAAATAAAATCAAATATATAAAACATTTTCAAGCATATAAAACCCACAATCTCTTTTTTTTCTCAATTGGATTACTTCAAGTAGCTAATGTGATGTAAAACATATTACATTCCTGATTCTACGAGATGCCTTTGTGCCACACCCCTCGAGGCAAGCCCAAACAAGTCCACATTAGGTCTTAAATTCTTAGTTCTCACACAAAAATAATGATTTATAGTTTTAATTGCTTTTTAAGAAGATATTTTATTAGGATGAATGAATGAACAACATTACCAAATAGGGGGTAAAGTGGACTTGTTTGGGCTTGCCTCAAGGGGCGTGATACGGGGGTCCAGGGGTGAAGCCCCCGGCCCAGCCACTAGACAAAAAAAAAATGCAAAAAGACGTCAAATTTTCAAAAGGCGCACGCCTGGGATAAGGCACAAGACGCACCAGGCATGTGCCCTTTGAAAGGGCTGCGCCTAGGACCTAGGCGAGGCGCCTACCCTAAAATGCGCCTTGCCTATGCACCTAGGTACACCTTTTAAATCACTGAAGCCAGTTCCTCCCTTTTCTCTCCCACACCAATTGGACCTGAGAATAACCCAATAATCTTTCCATCCTTGTTCCTAAACACACCACCAATACTAGGACCTGAATTTCCTGCACTACTCCCATCAACATTTAACTTTATAAAACCATTATCCAATGGAGTCCAAAGAGATCTTAAAACAGTCTTATTACAATCTGAACTAGCCACAGCCTTCCAGTTATTCATAGCATCAACTGAGGAGAAATCAACAAAAAAGCTCCAAAGTCTTCACCCAATGGACCACTCTAATCAGAATCCTCTCAATAATTCCCTATTCGCTTCTTTCCTTTTCAGAGAAAATTCTGCCATCTTGGAGTTTTGTTCTTCCCAAATAGTCCACCTCACCGCAGCTCTTACACATCTCCACAGCAATCTTCCTCTTTTCTTAGGCCACCAAAAGAAAGTAGAGGTAAACAGGCTTTGCACATTAGGTGGGGGAGTCCACCTACACCCAAACAAGGAAAAAAACCACTCCCAAACAGATTTAACAAAGGGGCAAGAGATTAATAAGTGGAAGCAAGTTTCTCCATTAGCCTTACAAAGAACACACCAGCATGGGGATAAGCTCCATTTGGGTCTTTTCATTTGAAGTAGATCAAAAGTATTTATTCTTTCCAGGAAGACCTCCCAATAAAAGCCTCCAATTCTTGGAGGGACAGGTTTACACCAAACCTCCTTAACATGAAATGCAAAGCACAAGCTATTAGAGGGTTGGATTAGAACCTTAAAAAAGGAGCCACAAGAGAAAACACCAGAGGAGGAGAGGGTCCAAATACAACTATCTGAACTGGAAGGGTCCAAAAACAACCCATCAAGGACCTGAAGCAAGTCCAAAACATCAATTAGCTCTAAATCCCTTACACCCCTTCTCAAGCCCAAATCCCAATCAAGGTCAAGTCTTGAATTTCAAGGGAAGGTTCCCCACCCAAACATGTTCCCAAAATTTTATATCAGTTTCAGAACAATGGCCATACCTGACAAAAGGCAAGAACAGCATAACAGCATGGATAACCTTCCAAGGAGAGGCACAAGTAGCCCTACAATGAACACCAGTATGGCAGTATCCCAACCATCAGCCGCAAGCCCATGAATACTTACCACCACTTTTGCCCAAAGTTTATCTTTATCCATAGGTAATGTCCACCGCCATTTACCCAATAATGCCAAATTCCTTTGTAATAAATTATATAGTTCTAGACCACCAAACTCCTTACTCCTACAAACCACTTCCCAACTAACTCTATGGTCCCTTTTTCCTCCCATGCCTCTCACAAGAAGTCCCTCGTCATCTTTTCCAATCTTCTGCCAACACCCACTAGCATCTTCAACACTGACATGTTAGCTAGCTATAGCCCTACAAACCACTTCCCAAGTAACTTTATGGTCCCTTTTTCCCTCCCTTGGCCCCCACTGCAATCTATCTTCTAGAAGGTAAGGCAGCTATAGCCCCCCAAGCTTTGAAGAAATCATCAATCTTAAAGTCTGAGAACAGATTCAAAGCCTTAACCCAATGTGCAACTCGCCCACTCTTAGGGTTATGACCTCAATCATGACCATCTTCATATTCTGTTAGATCATCTTTAATTATTTCTGTAACCCTATCACACAGTATAACTAGCCTCTCCCAACTGGTATTCCAACAGCTCTTTTTAAGAAGTGTAATCTTCTTCCCTACATCTAAGTTCATTGATGCACCCCCACACACACCATTAATTGCCAAAAAATTTAATTAAGTTTCTAACATCTACAGATTTTTTTTACAATATGTTAATGATTTATAAGAACATAAAATTCTACATATTTTTGAAGTGTTAATGCTAGAGTATACCTATAAGTGTTTCATGCAGTATCTGGTGTTATATCAGGCCATAGTTGTCAAGCGATGCCTAGGCGATAAGGCGTTATTGGAGAGTTGCCTAACCCAAACGCTTACATATTTATACGAAAGACACCACACAATATTTTACATTTTTATTTTATTTTATTAATAGTAGTACAATAAATATTGTTAAACTAAATTATTTATTGTGGGTTTATAGTATTAATATTGTTTTTTTAAGAATGAGTAAATAATTTTATTAAAGAGAATAAAGAAGAGTACAATCAGCCTTGGAGGCACGAGATGCCACCTCCCCTTTAGGATGAGTAGACCCAATGACTTGACTGAGAAGCAGCTGTACAAGGCCTACAAATTGCTAACCAACTTGGGGTGCACTCCAAGGTGGTAGGGATTGGCTGCTGAATCTGAACAGTGCCGTTTGGGGCTACATAGACCTCTTGAAAAAAGTAAAATGGATCACAAGGAATATGTCAGTCAACTTCAAGTGGATTAGCAGATCAGCAAATGCCTTCGCAAACTCTTTGGCTAAACAAGGGGCTTCTCGGGCTTCTTTGTATTGGGCTAATTTATAGTATTAATATTGTTATTCTTATTCTAGTTTCTTTTTGTTATTTTCTTATCTGTTTTGAGTTCAATCAAGACACAAGTCAGTGACATAGTCTTGAACCCTTTAGGACTTTAAAACCTAAATTGGTAAGTTTGGTGTTTGGAGAATCCCTTGGTGAGGCCTTACCCCTCCTGTTCCGGTGTTTGGAGAATCCCTTGGTTCAGGGGATAGATGTCAAATTGTCAATTTGGAGGATGAATGGAGCTGGAAGTGGAGTGGTAATGGCTGCTTCTCAATCCAGTCATTGGCCCTCAAACTTGCAGTTCAGGCTCTACGGGCTTTCCTATCAATCAGATCTGGAATCCAATCAGCCCTTCCAAATCTAATTTTCTAGTTTGGAATATGGTTCTAAATAAGTGCCTTTCTAGAACTAATTTGGAAAGAAGAGGTTTACAGCTTCCTGATGTATCTTGTGGGCTTTGTGGCCTTCTGCCCAAATCTACAGATCACCTTTGTCTCCACTGCCCACTTTCCTCTCAGGTGTGAGAGAACTTCCTGAATGTTGTGTGGATCTGTTGGGTTATGCCGGGCACTCTGAAAGACCTTCTGTGCTGCTCGAAGATCAGGGGTCTCAAGAAGAAAGGAAAGTTGGCGTGGAGAACTATTCCAGCAGCTTTCCTATGGTCCATTTGGTCTGAAAGAAACAACAGAATCTTTTGTAACAAATTCAAAAAGGAGTTGATGCAGGGTGCAGTGAGCAAGCTGGTTTCTTGGGTGTCTGTAAACTCTGAATTCAAAGCGCCTGAATGTGCCCCAGTTACTCAGGTCCCAATCCCTGTGGAGTCTGTAATCTGAGTTGATCCTTGGCCAGTCCTTCTCTGGCTAGGATTTAGTTGTATCCTCCTTTCTATTTTGAATAAATTTACCTTACACCTTTCAAAAAAAAAATAAAAATAACTTGAAGATTTTATCCAATTGACACACAAGAACAATCAATAGGACTTCTTCCTAGGACCAAAACAAGGGCTCAACCCTTATGTTTGTATTTTACTTTCTTATTTTTCTATTCATAAATATGTTAACTTTTTTATCAAATAAATATGTTGACTTTCTATCTATTGATATGGGGTTTAT